AAAACTAATACACAGAAACTAAAGATCATACACATTTCAAGGATAAACCCAGCACCAATCACAGTAAACAACGAAGAAATACAATACTCAAACGAAGGAAAAATACTGAGGCTAACAATAACAAGAACCGGAATAAATAAACACATAACAGAGCGTAATAGACTAGCCCAAATACAGCTTACCAAATTAAGAAGATTCGGCAAAATGGAAGAGAAAATACAACTACACCTCTTTAAAGCACTTGTCCGCCCTCATCTTGAATACCCGCCAATACCATTAAACACGATCAGCCTTACCAACCAATTAAAACTTCAGGCAACACAAAACAAAGCCATCCGCAGAGCCTCCAAACAACGTCCCCCATACACAACCAAAATAAAAGAACTTCACGAAAAATACAATATTTTACCACTGAACATAAGAACATACAGCCAAGCACAGGCAGTATGGCACAAACTAGAAGTAATGGAAGACGAAATATACCATCGACTAAAAACAGAGGACACCAGAAGATCACACAGCTGGTGGCCAAAAAGCCTTCTCCATAACCCTCAAGAGCCAGAACTATTGTACACTAAATAGTACACAAAAGATGAGAGTATTCTACTAGTTACACAAGGACCTAGCAGACCTCTCCAACTAACACAATTATACACCACAGCATAAATAACTCCTTGACGCAAATAAGATAAAAGATGAGAGTTTTCTACTAGTTACACAAGGACCTAGTAGACCTCTCCAACTAACACAATAACAAACACCCCCTTGCTAGCTAGCTTATCCTCCCCCCCCCCCTGTTCCCTTGAGCTCAGGCGACCTCTTAGTGCGGCCTTCACCACAGCCGATCAAATCGTCTCTGCTAGGTGGATAGCCCACCTGCTCTTATTCTCTACTATTTTACTTCGCGTTTCATAACTTTCCTTCTACCTTACGTCTTCTCTCCCTTCCCATGGCAAGCCATTGCCATTTTATCTCCATTATCATCATCATCATCATCAGGGAGACCATTCTACTCTGACCTACTGGACCAGCAAGACCTCTCTACAGCGCCTCACCACCCAGCTCCCTCAGAAAGCTCCTCGCCCTACAGGACCTCTGAGCAAGCTACTCCTTGTGGAGGTACGAGATGTTGGTTCACACTCAGGATGGGATGGAGAAAGGAAACTCACAATGTACTCTCTGTATACATGTTGTATTGGATGTACAATGCAGCTTGGTGCTGGGAAGTGGCAGCGTGGTTACAAGCATGATGTAGAGAGAGCTGGTTGGTGAGGGTGCTCAGAGGACTAGCTTGTGGGTCGCCATGGTCGCCAGCGGGAGCGAGGGCCGCCAGGCAGGAGTGGAGGAGGTGTTGCTTGAAGAATGGCTGTAGGTAGAAAGAGATAGGTCACCACGAGGTGTGGGTCGCCATGGTCGCCGGCTGGAGCGAGGGCCACCAGGCAGGAGTGGAGGAGTAGGTGTTGCTTGAAGAATGACTGTAGGTAGAAAGAGATAGGTCACCACGAGGTCAAATCTTATATAGCGGAGGTAGGCGTGGCTTAATAGTTGACCTCCGTCATGTAAGGCGGCGCTGGTTGACCTAGACCACGAGGCATACACTGGGGAATTCGCGGGGTCGGCTACTCAGCGACAAGCGTTTGTAGGGGAGGAATGCACTACATCCTCACCGAGTAACTCCTTAGCACTTCACTGTACAACAATATATACACAGAAAACGCATTGTGAGTTTCTGTCCTACCTCATTCCTGAGTGTGAGATATCTACATGTACGTACGTTTTTGTGCCCATACAAAGAGACAATAGACAACTAAAGAGAATTGAACTGGCCACATACAGTACGCTACAAGCTCCTCACCACACAGCAACTCCTTAGCACTACACTGTACTTACAATATATATATATATATATATATACGGAGAGCGCCATTGTGAGTTTCACTTTTTACCTCCATCCTGAGTGCGAGATCTCCTACGTGTACGAATGTATGTGAGCCTATCGAAGAGAAGATAGACAAACATAGAGAAATTTGACAACTGGCCACATACAGTGTAGTGGATTCCTCCCCTACAAGCACCGAACCTTCTCGAATCCCCCAGCCTACGCCTCCAGCGCCGCCCACGGAGCGGGGGTCAACTATCTACCCACGCCTACCCCTGCCTTATAAGGCCTGACACCGCTGTGACCATCCTCGAGACAGAAGACGGAAGAAGAGAACACTCGTGGTTCCCTAGCAGTAAAAGAAGAGCCCTAGAACCCACACCAACTCCACTCTATTGAAAGATGCAACGTTACCCCAGTGATAACCTTGGCAGCCCTACCACTTACATTAGATCATAAAAAGACGGGATGTTCTTAGCAGAAGCACAAGTACCTGCCCTAGACTCCTCACCATTGGCTAGGACATAAGACCCGAAAATGTAAGGCATAAAATTGCAATATTTGCTAAACATACAAACACCTGACATAAATATAATACCTAAGACGAAAATTAGCTGAAACACAAACATGAGAAAACAGAAGCACTTGGGTTGAGCCCCAAGACCTAGCATTCTACTACTATTTTCCAATTTCCTCGCCTTTCTTCTGCACTATCCACAGTGGCGTAGCTAGTGTGTGTGCCGCCCGGGGCGGCCCATGAGTTTACCGCCCCCCGTGACCCTACAAAAAATACATATTGCACAGTGACTCACTCTTTTATATATATATATATATATATATATATATATATATATATATATATATATATATATATATTAAATAGTTTGCCTTACTGTTGTCAGACAAAAGCCACCCCGATCAAAATAGGGGGCTTTTGTCTGGGTGGCTTTCGTCTGGGGGGCTTTTGTCTGTACCCCAGTGAGGATAGTGTCTTAGTATAAAATCGCAATGCTGTGAAACAAAATCTTAATATTTAATCTCAGTACCCCAGCAAAAGTCACATCAATATTTTTTAACCAATACTTTAATATTTCTTACCTTATAGTATTATGTCTTCCAACGAAGTAAATAACTGGATCGAAAACACAAGAGAACTTAAAAGTCGTCTAGCCTCCCCTCGTCTTGTCACGATGGAGACTTGTGGAGAATTGAAGTGAATTGCTTGTAACTGGTGGATTGGTCGGCTGTACATGAACTGATATGACCCGAGACTGCATGGTTTTGCAGCTACTGGAGAAGTTAATTCTTCCCTTTGTATCGGCGGCAAGTTAATCCTCGTCTTGTCTGACCTAACACCTGACCCACACCACATGAGCTCACTGGCGTACTTGTTTGAAGTTGTTTCCTTAATCCTCAACAGGTTACAGGTTGTGTGTGTGGCGGGGGGGCATAGCAAGGGTGTACGTAGCTCATGACGTGGCCGTGATGATGTGGGTCAGGTGTTAGGTCAGACACGACAAGGATTAACTTGCCGCTGATACAAAGGGATGGATTAACGTCTCCAGTAGCTGCAGATATGGGTGATGAGCAGACCCAAAAGTGCCGCCCGGGGCGGACCGCCCCCCCCGCCCCCCCCTAGCTACGCTAGTGACTATCCACCAACCCCAAGTCCCTCCAAATTCCACCATTATTCTTCAAGTCCAGTTCCCGCACCACCAATCTACGCACCTGCATCAAGATTTCTTCATACTTTACTTCACCCATCGATCGATCGACCACCCTCTTTCTACACAGTGCCACCAGCAAGCAACACCTCCTCCTCCGCGCCATCCTTGCGACTGCCGCTCCTGCCAGCGACCTTGGCGTCCCTCAAGCCGCGTGCCCTCACTCTGGGCACCCTCACCACCCAGCTCTCTCTACTCAACGCTTATTACCATGCTACCTACCCAGCAACAAGCTGCATTGTACATCCAATACAATATGTATACAGTGAGCACATTGTGAGTTTCCTTTCTCCAGCCCATCCTGAGTGTGAACCAATATCTCATACCCCCACAACAGTACGCTACAATATATTTATATAAAGGACCAACACAAGCTGATAAGTGGCGAATATGTAAAAAAAGAAGTCCTAAACGCTGTTAAGCTCCGAGCCTCAGACCCACTCTAGACGTCCCCTTGCAGTAATTGCATGTCAACAAGTTTCCCGTATTCTGTTGTAGCGTATCCACTACACTGTCTTTCACGTAATACTTATACTTGTGGGACACGCTTTGCTTGACACTGTGCCCAGTACTTCCCAACCGTGTAACAGATGTAACCGCTAAGCGCCCACCAAAGCGGCTAACACGGCGATCTGTGGTAAAGAGGATAAAATAAAATAAAGCAGAATTTGAAAAAAGTAAGTTGTTTTTGTTAACTAAGAAAATGATTAGTTAATAAATCAAGCACCATTATGAGAAGTAATGGCAGGAAATATATTTATTTGTTAAAGTGAAAGAACTGGAAATATGTTAAAGGAAATCTAGTTCCAAGGTTAGATAATAATAAATATATTTTCATTATATGAAGACGATCCGATTCTCCTTCTCCACGAAGACAACAACGTCAGGTAAGAAAACTAAGAGCAGATGGAAGACTGCGCTGTTTTGCTTCCTCAACCTCACGGTTTCTCTAAAGTAACTTTATATTAAAAATTTCTCAATATTTACTTATTCAAAACAAATCATCATAATGGAATATTGAGACTGTTTGTTGTGAAAAGTTGTGCCAAAGTTTGTAGGAGTACAAATGTGGATTCATGGCCGGCAGGGGTAAGTTGTTGCTGCCCCGCATCAAGACGGCCGTGCCTCACTCGCCCTCTGGTAGTGAATTCCATCCTTGAACAGTGTGCCTGCTGACTCTTTAGTGGTGTAGACTAACCCTTTTAACTCGCTCCAATGCCTAGAATGAGCAGGAAATCGTCATACTCTTACCATGGAGTCAATGAAGGTGGGTTGCCCTTGTAGTATCCTGCGATGGTGGGGATATAAACGTTCCTCTACAGTTGTTTAGCTAGGATTAAACGAAAATAATCATATTCCAGTGAACACACAAGGAGATTCTTTCACAAAAAACTGCAAGACTTCTTGTCCCATAAGAGATAAAATAAAAATTTACTGTATGAAGGAAGTTACTGTGAATTTCAACAAGAAATCTACCTATCATTACAGTATTGATTTTTCTTTTATTTTTATCTTCTGATAAGTAGGTGTACTGTATATTGTATTAATTTATGGGGAAGGTTAGAATGTTGGCAAATATTTTCGAATTAAATATTAACATATGGTAGACTCCATGTGAAGAGCACAAATATGTGCTACGAACAAACCTTGAACAAATGGACTGACCTGCGGCCAATTTTTCATAAAAACTAGGGTAAATTTTCACTAATGCACCGGTCTTTGTTTGGATGGTAAAAATATGTTTTACCGATGTTATTTGACGAGTTAACAACGAATTTGAAATTAATTTCTGCCGGAAATAAATAGTTTTTGAGACCCCCCTACCCCACCCATCAATCTTAACGATTTTTTTTCGAGTAAATCACAAATACAAACAACAACCAAACCTAACCTAACTATTTTTCTGATGAAACTGCAATTGACGTAAAATAATCTCTATCACAATGTCGGCACAGCTCTTTCCACCTGTTCGGCCATATCTGGTTATTCACGTACTGAAAAATCTAATCTCCGCTCCCGACGCACCCATGCATTGTTCATTAGCTAAGACAAAAAACTCTTGCCTAACTATAAGTCTCCTATCGCTATGGCCAATAAGAAATTCCCACACCGCTCCCCGCACATGCGCTGTAGATGCTTAAGAAGCCAACACGGAGGTAAGGAGCACTGCGTGATGGGTGGTCAGACCTTCTCTGAGACGTAAAGGTATTTTTGCGTTTACACACCACACATTCCTACCACTAATCTATTATCATATTCGAATAAGACGTCTAATTATAAGATAATTTTCATTTATTACATTACCGTCGCAAATGTATAATAACGGAGATAGCGTATCCAAAGTTTTCTCTTTAATCCATTAATCTTCCGCCATTATCGCCTAACTCACCTCCCACACTGCATGTCTCCTTCATAAATCATCATGCGCATGCGTTCCTGTACATGTCACCCGGCCAATCTAAAGCGTTTTATTTTTTTGGCAACTAATGTAAATGATTTTGGGTTTAATTCGTGGTATTTTTTGGCCCAATCAAATTCGAGTTTTATTTTGGGTCTCATATTTCGAAATTCAAATTCATTTTCAACCATGGAAGTCTGCGATGGGTGTCACTTCAATTATATGGAGCTGATTGAGAGTTTTTGGGAAAAAACGAAGAAACTATAGCATTTTTTCGATCACATGGTGTTCTTCCAACCTCAGTAAAGTGTCCTAAGTGCAAGACTGAATGTAAATACCGCAAAGAACAACATATGTGGCGTTGTCATAACTTGTCCCTTACAGGCCAATAAGGTAATAAATTGGTGATTCCATCATATGGTGAGAGTCAGTTAGGTTAGATTTTTGTTTTGCTAGTGTTTTTGGTGTATTTTTTTTATTCGCTTAGCCATTATTTTTTTTTCGGAAAACGTCCAACGAAAAAAATAAGAAAAAAAAACACTGCTAATTTCCGCCAGAAATGAAGGTCATATTCGGTCTAAACACACACAAATACACTAGAAAAATAAATTTTTGTCTTTCTAACAGAGTATGGTGTGCAAGTGCAAATTTACCGACGTAAACAACAAATGGCGACACTTGTGACTGACCAAATCTAATAATATTGAAAAATCAATATCTCGGTTATCCTTTATTTCAGGTCGGAATATCACAGAAGAAAAAGGGTCCTAGAATTGTCTAAACATTACGAAAAACATAATAACGCGAGAGAAAGACTGGTGCATGATTGAAATTTCACCAAAACTATTTTAAAACCTTGCAATTTCACCATTTTTTAAGATGGACACGTTTGTAGTTTATGCAAAAGTGGTTACAGTCTTTTTATACTAGTGCACCGTTCTATCTCTGTTAGAAATATGTTTTTCCGGGTGTTTAGACAATTTAAAGACATTTTTCTTCTGTGATATTTTTGTCAGAAATCAAGGTTAGGTTTGGTTGGTTTTTGGTGATTTTCTGTTTTTTTATGCATAAAAAGTGGTAGGTTAAGTTAGGTTGTATTTCTGGTAAAGGTGTCGACAAGGAATTATCCGAATTGGTTGAAATTTTTTCTTCACACTAATATCATATTAAACACAAAAATGGAAATGACAATGCATAGAACCTAATAGAACCTGACCTAACATACCCATAGGTTGGGTATGTTAGGTCAGGTTCTATGCATTATTGTGTTAATTTATGTGTTAAACAACTTACCTTAATATTGAGGTTGATATAATTCAGCAATGGCGAGGAGGAATTCGTAGAAGCGCTCACCATCATCTATAAGAAACGTCTCTTGAAGAGGGATTCAGCGAGGTAAACAACAAAAGTGGCGCTGGGAGGAGAATTGTGAAGCGGGATAGAGTAAAAAAACAAAACATAAAATCATAATAGAAAGTTGTCATTTTTTTTAATATTCTTAAAATCATCAAAACAATAAGTACAGCAAAAATAAAGAAAATCAACAAATAACTAATGGTGGTAGCCATTGTCTACACCTTTACCATACAGTATTTCTTTCGGTATTAGAAATAGCATAAAAGAAAAATGTCTTAGAATGGACAAGTTGACAGTCAGAATTTTTTTACAAGGTCAATGGGTAAAGAAAATGCTTAAAATCGCTATGGTAATGATATTTTAAAATAAATGAAGCCAAAAAGTGTAAAAAATAAGAGTTAAAGTTGCTAAAACGTCACGTGAAAGTGAAAAGCTCTGTGATTGGTTGTGACGTCACTGGTTAGCGCGAGCCTCCCAGCCAGCTGTGGTGTATGTGTTGTTACCAGCAGAAATACAGGAATTTTGGCCATATACAATGTTGATATACACAGGTGTACCTTAGTTTTAGGTTAAAATAAATTACTGCTCAAGTATCAGCGTGTGTGTTTATTTGCTGCGTGCCAAAATGATGCAAAAGACCGATAACTCCAACATGGAAGTTTTCATCACTGTTCTCTATTTCATGTCTGGAAAATGTAAGTTTTAGTCTCTGATGTCTATATTTAATGTTGTGGAAGGGCTAAAGACAACCATGGCCAGGGGATGGGCTTGAGAAGATCAGATGACATGTAATTTAACGTGTTTCATAGCTGGATGGCGGAGTTCTTGATGAACCCTGGTAGTAGTTGTTCAACCTTCTCGGCCGATCGGCTCTGTAAATAAATATTAGATAATTAATTGTGGTTAATTGTGCAACACAGTAATACTATTTTGAATATATAAATATTACTAAGCACAAACTAATTCAATGGATATTAGCTGCCCATACAACAAATTTCATCGTATAAACATTCCAAACAAATTGGTATTATTTTGGTTTTGGTTATCTGGGGAACCTTAAGATTCTAACTGGGATTAAGTACTTTAAACAATAAGACACATAATCTCTACAGGATTTCTGTCACAAACATTTTTTGATCACATAAGAAAATACAGATCATATGTTAGGTTAGGTTAGGGTAAGATGAGTTGTAAGGTTAGCATAACATACACTGGTAAGCGGGGTGGTAACTCTAAACTGGTGATTTCCGATAGAAATGAAGGTCAACATCGTTCATAACACATCACAAACCTTCAGGGAAAAATGTAGTCTGCTTGTCTTATATACGTGGATGATCAAAACTTAAAATTTACCCAATATAGTCTATCTCGAATCTAAACATCCAAATGTTTATGGTAGTTAAAGTGGAATTTTACCCATTATTTAATATAAATGATGATATATCCCAGTCATTACAGTGATATGGCTGCGAATAACATTTGCTGACTGGGGGGGGGGGGTAATTTTTACTAGTGTACAAAGAAATTTATATTCCCTTTGTGTTTGCCCTTAGGACAATTATTGTATGTGTGTGTGTGTGTGTAGACACACACACACACAAATAATAATTGGAAAATCCTCTCACAAATAATCAGAAACAAATTTATTAAAAATGTGACAGTCTACCCTCAAGTCCGTGCTTTATTAATAAAGTAATAGAGCACGGACATGAAGGTAGACTCACATTTTTAATAAATTTGTTTCTGATTATTTGTGAGAGGATTTTCCAATTATTATTTATTTGTAGTTTGTGTGTCTACACACACACACACACACACACACACATATTTACAATACAGGTAAAGGAAATTACTGTCTCTAGAACAAATGGCTCCCTGTCCCAGCCGTGAAAATGCCGTCAACCTTAAAACTACCCACAAACCTTTCTTGGGTACATTCTGGTTGTCATCCGCGAATAATCGAGAACCGCGAAGTAAAAATCCGCGACCTTGGGGGGCATACTGTACTTCTAAATTGACTCGTATCTTCATCTAGTACTGATATACTCTGTAAATGTAATGGAAAAAAAAAGAAAGTCTTCCAAGTAAGAATACATGACAGCTGAGCTGGTGTGAACATGGGAGCTTTTTATGTCCATAAGAACAGAGGAAACTGCAGCGGGCCTATTGGCCCAAACTGGGCAGTCCTATTTACACCCAACCCTTATCGCTCATATATCCATCCAACCTATGTTTGAAGCAGCTCTTCATGGCACATTTCTTCACTTATGAGATGTCCATGACTTAGACCATAAAAAAAAAAACCTTAAAACTTACCTGAACGTGGCATTTGGGGTCTAAAGCGGCTATCTTTGTACTACAGTAAAACCTTGATTAATCGACCCTCGATTAACCGACTTTCGGATTAACCGTCGATCCCAACCCCCCTTTTTTTACATGGGGATTAGCCCACCTGGGCACAGATCACTGACCCACATCGGGGCCTAGGGGGCAACAATGTAATAATAATAATA